TTGTGCAATCGAGTGAGATCATATAAATTTGATTATCGTGTATCATGTTTATTATGACTATTATAGAATGGATGTAAATAAACGAAGCAAAATCACAGTTCACGAAACGGACATCCTTAATTCTCATTTCACGGAGCATTTTTATCAAAAATCACGCCTCACGGCTGTAGAACAAATCACATTTCACGACACTAAAATCAAGCCTTTCACATTTCACGGGAATAAATATTGACCATTCAAGGCTCACGAAAATACCCTTTCCCACCCACAACAGAGTGCAAAGGCATTCAAATTCTAACAATTAAATTGCTATTCGTGATTTCTATAGTTTTCGGGTTTTTTGGGACACCCTGGTGTAGAAAGACGCCTTAACTACACAGGGTACAGGGTACAGAGTGATGAGGCTTTTAAATTCTAACAATACGTTATTTCAATAGTTTGGGTATTTTGGGACATCCTGTAGAGCGTTTGCACTCAATAATATTATTCCCCAAGGGCCAGGGACGTCAACAAAAGGCGTGGCGGCCGTGTTGGTGATCCAGACAAAAGAGTCTAATTAAAATTATTTGGAATTATTTGACCTGCATCTAAAGCCCACCGAACACGAGCGCACTTGTCGCTCGTACTTGGTATTTGTGACAAGTTGGATCGACAAAATTTCCTCGTGTGCGGGCAACATTTACGGCATTTTCGTCATTCGTGACAGGTAAAGCAAATATCAAACATGTTTCATATTTTTCGTTATTCTTGACAAAAAAATTCTCGTGTGCGGCGAGCAAACGACAAGCGCGCCTGAATAGGAAAATATGCGCATGCGTGCAACTTGCAGAATTAAAAACAAGACTCGTGCTCGTGATTTTGATCCGCCATGTTGTTTTTAATTCTGCAAGTTGCACGCATGCGCAAATTTTCCTATTCAGGCTCGCTTGTCGTTTGCTCGCCACACACGAGAATTTTTTTGTCACGAATGACGAAAAATATCAAACATGTTTGATATTTGGTTTACATGTCACGAATGACGAAAATGGCGTAAATGTTGCCCGCATACGAAGAAATTTTGTCGATGCAACTTGTCACGAATAACAAGTACGCGCGACAAGTGCGCTCGTGTGTGGCGGGCTTAAGGACGTAAACGGGGTTATATTCAGTTATAAAATTTGCATAGACAAAAATCTCAAATTTGATTGGTTACATAAAGGATATGTGCTAATAAGGTGCATAATAGCGACCTAAGTGTAGATTTTACTGTTAGATGGACAGATAATTATATTATTATATATATAGAGAATAATACATGGGTGCGCGGAAATAGCACTATATATAGCACTACAGTTTATATAATAAAGATATATAATTATGTTGTTATGAACTGATCTTAAAAGTATAGATCATTCCGCATTGAAGTAATGACTACAAGATTTAAAAGGACATGTCACAATTTGACGTACATTATATTAATGTTCAAACATTGTTGTACCAGGACAAAATTCCATTCGCATTACACGTTGCATGAAACAAATTGGGTAGAATTTGCATGAATTTGAATTATTTATTTTTTTACATCTATCATTTACAGGGTTGGTTAATTAGAAAAATATTGTATATTTACAAAAATATATTTACTATAATATAGGAAGAGTTTAGAACTTCTAGTATGATATTACCATTATTTACAAATAAAAATGTATGTAATTTATAGTTACTTAATGTTTATTATAAATCGTCACAGACGAGGGAATGTACGAATTTTTGAAGCGATTTGTCCGACAATTAATTGGAACGAGTTTATTCGATGTGCGTAGATTGTAGCTTGGATGTTCGGCTGGTTCAACTTGTTCGGAAAGAGGACTAGTTTGCGAAAGAACCTTTTTTCTAAAAAATTTTGAACATAACAGTTCGCGCCTAGAATACAATGTTGGGATATTGAGATCTGATAAGGATTCTTTGTATAATGACGATGGGTTAATTATTTTCAACGCTCTTGACTGGATCCTTTCTATTTCTTTGGATAGGTGTTCAGGTATGTTATAATGCCAAACTTGGGCGCAATACTCCAAAATGGGTCTTACACATGAAAAATACACTGATGTCAATGTTTTAGTGTCACAACGAGCTCGCTTGAGGAGTCTAAGTATGTAAAGGCGTTTTGCGGATTTTTTCACTATTTGGGCCACGTGGTCATTCCACTTTAGGTCGTCCTTGAAAATTAAGCCAAGGAGTTTAGCGGATTTCACCACTTCAATGGGCTGTTCGTCAACGATCATTGGAGGGAAATTTGGATTGTTTTTCCAAAAACAAACGAGGATTTCTTTGCATTTACGGGGATTTAAGGACATGTTATTTCTTGCACACCACTGCATAATTCCTTCTAAAATAGTTTGAAAGTTCGAATCTTGGTTTCTAGAAAGGGTTTCTGAAACAGACGAATCGTCAACATATTTCCATCTATCGTCCCAATCAACCAACAAATCGTTTATCATAATCATAAATAGAATCGGACCTAAGACAGTGCCTTGTGCAACCCCACCGTTCACTGGTTCGAAACTTGAGTTGTATTTACCTATCTTCACTCGCTGTTTCCTGCCAGTAAGAAACTGTTTTTCCCATGCGATAAGAACGGGATCGATGGCCATTTCCTCCATCTTCTTGATAAGAATATGGTGATCAATCTTGTCGAAGGCTTTACTAAAATCCAGAAGCAGTACACGCACACATTGGTCAGATTGGTCCGTAGTTCCATACAGATGATGAAAAAAGGATAGAAGAGCGTGAGTTGTAGATAAGCCGGCGAGTGATCCGAATTGCTTCCTGTCAACGAGGTGTCTGATCTGTGACATAATCCACTCTGCGACAAAATGTCCCAAGGTTTTTGAGAGAATTGGTGTTAGAGATATTGGGCGTAGATCATTTTCAATTTCCTTAATCTTATCTGTTTTACGAATAGGTATTACATCTGCTTCTTTCCATGAAACGGGTACGACTCTCTCTTGGATTGACGCGTTAAAAATTTCAGCAACGGGTGATGAGAGTTCCATGGCAAACTCATTTAAGACCCAACTTGGTAAGTTGTCAGGACCCGAGGCTTTAGTGCGTTTGAGAGCTTCGTAAAAACATCTTCAGGAGAAATGTGGTATTTTAAAATAATTTCGTTAACTACTGCAGGATCAGTTTCAACGTTTTCCAATTGGCTGTTTAGAGGTTTTTGTAGAGGGTTTGTGATACACAGGAAGCTTTCGTTAATTTTTGTTGCTAATTCGGTTGAATGGAATTCTTTGCCCGATACAAAAACACTGGATACTGGTAATTTCTTAGGAAGTCCTCCAAGTTGTTTGATGGATTTCTACCAGGAAGCTACATTGTCACAGTTTTTTACCTTATTTGCAAAAAAGGAACTCCTAAGACTGTTATTTAGCCTGTTAACTTTATTTCTCAATTTTTTGTAAACAGGAGGGTCTTTGGACATTGCTTGTTGTCGTTGCTGGATTAGACTCTTCAGTTCAGGAGTAATCCAAGGCCTGTCTGTTGGGTGTTGTTTGTTTTTTCGGAGTGGGAAGAAAGTTTCAATAGCAAAATTTAGCAAACATTGGAAAGCAGCGAGTTTTTCGGTACAGTTTGATAGTGTTTCAAGGAATGACCAATCAGTAGATGCTAACCATCTTCCAAAACAGGACTTCATGCTTGGCTTTACATTCCTTCTAAAAATTGATTCTACTTTCGTTTTGTGAGTTCTCCTTAAAGGACGAATAAGTAAGGAGTTATGGTCACTTAAGCCGATTCCGGGTAGAATTTGAGGAGTGTTATAATGGTGAAACAGGTTGGTGAAAATTAGATCGAGGATTGCAGCACCGCGTGTTGGATTTTTAACGGTTTGTTGCAGGTTAACATGGTTACTAATATATCGGTAATTTAAACGATTAAAATCGCCAACCAACATAATTCCAGAATTAGGATATTTGTTCAAAGCAGCATCCAATGATGAAATTAGGTGATCCGTAAAAGTAGCATCATCGTCTTGTGGAGGGTGGTATATAATACCGATAATTAGGCAAGAAAAGCCTCGTGGGAGTCTGTTCGGACGGAGGTATACCCAAAGAGATTCAAATGGGGAATCATTAAGTTCGTCAATTGTTGTGAAATCAATTGATGATTTTAAAATGTACGTACAAACACCACCACCACGTTTATCAGCGCTTCGATCTGTCCGTACTAGCGTGTAATCACTAATATCGACTACTGAGTTGGAAATATTATTGGTCAGCCAAGTTTCGGTAATACAAACTATATCCACGTCGTTTTGGTTAATGACAACATTTTATTAACGAGTGATCTTGTATTAGAAAGGAACAAAAAGGTTAAGGAACTTTTTTTGTAGTAGGACGTAGCATTCGCGATCGGTGAGTTGCAATTGATTGGTATTAAGTTATTCAAGCAGTCATTACGCATTCTTTGCTTTGGACTTTGTTGACGATTTCTCGTTGAGATTCTAACTGGTATAGTGTTACGTTCCAGAGTGATTATAGTGTTGTTACTAGGTGATTTATCTACATTCCCCAACGTGGTGCGTGGATAGGTGGGTGGACTGGGACTTGCGATAATGGTTGGGGAGGGTATGTTGTACGTAGCATCCTCAAGGGAAGTGGTTTGGGGTTGGACTGGGCACTCTGGAACCCACCAAAAAAAGCAGGTGGAACAGTTTGGTGAGAGTTAGGTCGTGAATAGGTGTAGCGGGGTAGATATCGTGAGAAAAATCACAGAATGAGCCTTTTTTACACGTTCCTTTCTTTTGTAAGAAGGGGCACGGTACCAGGTGTTTTGGTGGTAGGGGATTATTATATATAGGTTTGCCGTTGTGGAAAAAATTACATAAATTGCCTTTGGCGCACCAGCCACGTTTGCGAAGAAACGGGCACGGGATGGTATGCTTTGGAGGTTGTTGTATAGAATTTAAGTCAGGGTGAATTGTGTTTTTATGGTGTTTATTCTGTGGTTTGACGGCTGTGATCTCGTCTTGTTTATTGCATGTAGCATAGTTCTCTTTATGTGTTGATAAACTTTGTTGATGAATCTGAGGGGTTTTGAGGTTTATTGGACTTGCATTGTTTATAATTGTATTTTTGAAATAATTATCAGGAACGCTAATGATGTTAGCAAGGCCGTTAATGTTTGGAAACTTGTCCAAAGTGAGATTTTTATTGTTTGCAGCAGTTCCGATGATGGTCTTGGTCGAATTATTTAAATGTTGATCATTAGCATTATCGCTAATAGATTCGCAAACTGAGTTTACTTCGTCAGTCGAGCTACAGGCATTGTTCTTCAGATCATTAATAGATGCACTGGGATTTATCATTTCAGGCGATAACAATTTTGACTTAATAAGTGTATTGTCTTCGTACAGTTTATTTATTACTTCGTCCTGTTTACGAATTATAGCCTCTAAATCTTTATGCTTACTATGGAGGGAATTTATTTCTATGGTCATTTCATCAGGAGAGATTATAGAACCCAAACGCGTCTCGAGAATTACCATGTCTAACTTTACACCCTCCAAATCTGTTACAACAGATTTACAAGAGCAGCTACAAGCGCTTGAACGTACCTCAGGCGGTCTGGGAATGGCATCTTTAGTTGTTTCTTTACTTCCTAAACCCAATGTTGTTTCTTTAATTCTTAAACCCAGCGTTGCCCGACATTCCAACTTCAATTTTAAAGGGTGATCGCAGTTGTCTGTAAGGGTTATAAGTTTCTTGGAACGAGGACCATACCATTTAATGATTAGATCTGAATCATCATCCTTAAAAAGTTTGACGTCGCCGCCGGGTGAAGTCCATGTCCCTTTAGCGTTTAGCGTTTTCTCAACAAAGGTCTATAACTTGCTCAAAGAGCCAGAAGACTATCGGTAAATTTCGCTATCGTACGTTAATTCGTTCACTATATTCATGTTTATCTTTTATTACGACAAGATTTATCGGTTTGTCGATCTACAATTTTATAGAGCTCCTGCTCCTGCTCCTGAAGAACTCCTGATGAACAGAACCGTCAACTAAAGAATAAAAGAATGATCGAATAGATATACAAGCGAACTCATATGCAACTCAATGTCATAACTCATTCACTCCTTTCAGGCTAAAGCCTTAATTAAAGGCAAAGCGGCGAGTAAGCTATAACTAGGAACGAAGTTCATATACGCATAACTTAATTATATGTGAGCTTTTGCAGTACAGACTGCAAACGTGCTATAACAAACAATTTGAGCCATGCCTCCAAGACCAAGAGTGGCAATTAGACAAGCCCGAAAATTAATTTGTCCAGCTGAACGAAATATGCTTCGCGAAATGTACAATTTTTAATTTTAACAGGCACGCAGCTCGAGTATAGGTTTTCTATCTATACAAAAAAATTTCTTTTGGTGTAATACAGGGTGTCCCAAAAACCCCGAAAACTATTGAAATCACAATAACAATTTAATTGTTAGAATTTGAATGCCTCAGCGCTCTGTTGGTTGCCACGAGTGCATAGATGATTGACATAAGTAAATTTTATGCATAAAGAAACTGTTTAAGAAGCCGTTTTAAATTCCCAAGAGCAGAAAATCGCGCAAATTACAAGGAGATATTCTTAACTAAATTTTAATTTTTTTTTCCTTTTATTGCCCATATATTATAACATATAAATATTTACATTAAAAAAAAATTAGATTAATGTTATGGTAGGGGCCTGCCAGAAACCTTAACAGGCTTTTATTTAAGACCCCTATAGGTATAAAATTTAGATGCCAGTTCTAACCACAGACTATACAGTCAACCAAATTTAAAATATATTACAATAAGTATTATAGTTAAAAGAAAAGAAAGAGAGAAAATGTGAAAGCTATTTACAGCATAAAGTGTTACAATGTACATATAATTTGATTAATTGCTTGATATTTGAAGGAAGTGTTCTTTTATAGTATTTTTGAAAGTATTACGAGAAGTGATATTTTTAAAATGACATTCAAGTCCATTCCAAACATCGACTCCTTTATTTGAAAGAGTATGTTTTACATAGTTCGTTCTTTTGTATGACTTGTGGAGTTGTGTTTTATTTCTTGTAT